ATCACAAGAGCCCCCCCCCCCCAGTGTAGTTCCTGCGAATCTGCGCCTAGTTTCCAACCATGTTGACTGGGTTGAAGCCTCAAAGCTTACACTTTCCCCTGCCGAGTTCCCTGGACGCAAGGATGCAGCAGACGGTGAAAGGTAGGACTCCGTCACAGGCTAAATCCTACAGCACCAACGAATCCGCCACGCGTCCAATCCGAAACACACAAACTGCAGCCCGCGGCTGGGCAAGTAGGACTTTAAGAGTTGGGGTTCAAGCTGAGAAATGACCAAGGCATGCGGCTGAATTTCGGGCTTGCGGTTTGGGGACGAACAAAGGGTTGGGGATCGCCAGCTGACATTGAAGAAGTGGGCATTGTACGTCGGGAACTTCGACTTCCAAATCTTGGGGGAGGGGGGGTCCCAGCTGCAAGCTCTGCAAACATAACCGAAACACAGTTATACAAATAAGCTGTCCAACAGATACGAACAAGACTTGGAGGACGGTAAACCATCGGGGGTTGCCGAGAAGGTTGTTCGTAGTCGACTAGGAACCAAGCGAGACGATAATATAGGGGCCTTCGCAATAAGAATAGGGTTTTGAGGCTTCCTTATTATAATTCTAGTATAATGTACCCCGAAACCCTATTCCAATTATTAAGGCCCCTACAGTAGCCTTTGAGCCACAACTCCCGAGCCTCCAGATGAAACGATGCCAAGACCCCAGCCTCCAGCACACCGGAACCTCGAGCACAAAGAACTTTCCTGCCAGGAACATACTATTTTGGGGGGGGTCCTTCTTACAACTATAGTATAGTATACCCCAAAACCCTATTCTAATTATTAAGGCCCCTACATTAGCCTTGTCGGCTTCTGGCTTATCGGGAAGAGTGCGCCAAAACGAATTGAGAGCGGCCTGACTGGGCTTCGGGCCATGGGTTACGGGCTTGGAATTTCGGGTTCAGGGTTTGCAGCTTGGGCGTAGGTCTGAGGGTTTTCCCCTAAACCCCAAACCCTAAACCCTAAACCCTAAACCCTTTTCCTTTAGGATTTAAGTCAACAGGGCCAAGGCAAGGAGCTTTGCGAGCAACGCTTTGTGGCGCCAATCAGCGTGTGGAAATGCGCTTACCAAAAACAAGGCCGGATGTCATATGACCTGGCCGCTTGTTTAGGGTTTAGGGTTTAGGGTTTAGGGTTTAGGGTTTCGGGGCTTCAGCCTAAACCCTAAAGTCTAAATCTAAACTGGATTTAATCTATGGTTTAGGGACCCCCCCAGCCCTAACTAACCCCACGTCCGGAACTAGACCCTAAACCCTCCAGTTGGCTCAGACCTACACCCCATACAACCGGAACATCGTGCATCAAACCCAGCCTTCCCACAATATTCTTACTTGTTGGGTATCATGGGGAACTAAAGGTTAACCTTTGGGGTTATATAGGGGTTATATAGGGATTGTACTACCCCAAAAAGGTTAAAGGTTACCTACCCTACTACTAGGTATTCCCTGCAATCATCCCGACAAGCCCTTTAGATGCTCAGGAACCCAAATCCTTCGATAACGGCGCAGCAGCTGGACCTCTCCACTGGCGGAGTCGCGGTGAAGATGCCTGGCAACTGTCAGTTGAATGGCAGCTCTACTGTAGGCACCTTGCTAAATTACAATAGGGTTCTGGGGTATATTCTACTATAACTACAGTAAGGAACCCCCAAAATAGTATTGGTTAAGGGTAATTGTTTAGGCCCCTATATTACGCATGCAAAGCCGGCCCACCGACCTTCACATGATTGCTATGATGGTTCTTGTTGTGAAAAACTGTCTTATTAAAGTACTGCTTTCATCCTATTACTACAGTATTGTGCTTGCCATAATTATGTTTATGATGAAATGTGTTACTTCCGGCTCAGCCACTGGCAATCAAGGCTTTTTGGACGCACGGTCAGGCGTGGTGATACTTGCGAACGTGGTAGACCCAATAACATGCCTTTCCCACCGTTTGGGGGTCCCACCATTTGGGGGCGAGCTTGGCCCGAGACGCTCTCGTCACGTCATGAAATCATTTCAGAAGGAAAGCTCCACCCAACCACGTGCCAACAATGACACCCTTCGGCATGCCTCCACTCTTCCTTCAAAAGCTTCTCGCAAGAAATCCGGTAGCGAATGGCCGACGGCGAAGTCTGCGGCTGTGCATCCACGTGCATTCCGCAAGTTAACCTGTGCTCCTGCTGCTATCAGGGCTGCAGCGCATTCATGGTTGCAGCACAGCATGGCCACCATCAACGGGGTTGCACCCTTCGCATGATACATGACCTTGGAGAAAGGAGTCACCTTGTAAAAACGGTGTTGTAGAGTCAACAGCGTGTACACGGCTCGCATGAGCGGTTTGCGCGTGAAGTGTTCATCTGTCTGAATATTCACATCTGCTCTGATCTCAACCAGCCGATGGACCACCTCGGCACCTGCCCCACCCAAGGCTGCACTATGAAGAGCTTCAGATGCGTTCAAGGGCGCATTGACATGTCTTGGGAGCTCATAAATGGCTTCAGAAGATCCGTAGAAGGCCGCCATTTGGAGGATCGTCCCGCCAAATGAGTTTTGTTCCAGCGGGCTGCAACGAGCCTCCAAGAGGATCCGCATGGATTCTTTGGTGCTTTGAGCAGCTGCACAATGGAGAGGGCCGTGAATCGGAACGTTGCTGGTCACTCTAGCTTTGGCGGAGATGAGAAACTGGATGAGATCAGTGTTCCGGAAGAGGCAGGCGATGCTAATAGGCAGCATGCCCCTCTCAAAGCCGAAGGCCGGGTGGATTCCTTTGGTGCCTTTGTCTGGATCTGCTCGAAGCACCAGCAAATCTTGAACCAGTGTTGGATCTCCATTCACCGCGGCATAGTGGAGAGGCATCCACCCGCAACGGTCTTTGTCCGAAATGCTGCGGAAACCATTCTGATGGAAGAAGTTCATGGCACGCCATGGGGACTCCAGATCCATCTCAAAACCAGGGACCGGGGCCAAGGCGTCACACTCCAAGCCTCTAAACAGTGCAGGTTGCTGGTTGAGGAAGGCACGATAGCCTGGAAAATCCTGTGTGTCCAGCAGGCCCATCAACTTCCGCTTCAGCGCCGTCATGAGGACTGACCCGAGCTTCAAGCGGTCCTCCGCCACGGTGAAAACACCTTCACCCACTGGCCCAGCCCCAGCACGAGTGGATGCCATTGCACCTGAGATGAGCTCAAGGTCTTCAGGGCCTTTCACCACTACCCAGTCGTGATTCTGCGCGAGCTCTCGGCAAGTCCTCTCTAGCCTGCACCACCCCCGACCATGCCAGCTCCATTCATTCATTCATGCATTGTAC